TTGAAGAACATGTTTTTAAAGTTAAATTCTCATTTTTAACTAATGTAAGTAATTCCTTAGTAATATATGGAGACAAAAATCATGTTTTTTCCATAAGAAGTAAAAAAAGAAGTAAAGAAATCTTCTGTGAGGCACTCTGATACTTTAACCTAAAAATATATTGGGGACAAAAGACATAACACACATGAAAGCACCTGGTTCAAGAGTTAGTATATCATTTCTTTAAAACAACAAACAAACATTTTAACTGACTCGACCTCAACATCAATGAATTCGGGAGGAGTCCTAAGCTTTTCAACAATATTGATGGAAGCTGAAGTAAGGGAGGCCATGCGCTAGGTAAGCTAGGGTGGCACATGAGATGGCTCGCAGGGCTGGTCTGCAGAGGGAGAGATCTTTGAGGATGAAGGTGTTATATAGATTCAACAACTTTGGCGGCAAACTATCCGAAGTGATGTTGGGACTTCCCTGTTTGGAACAAAAAGTTGGAGAATGTGTCTACTTCAAAGAAGAGAGAATGAGAAAGGCAGTGTGGAGAAGGCAGTGTGGAGAAGGGAATCTGTGTCCTGGAAACATCTTTAGACCTATTTCTGCAATAAAATTTCTTTTGGTGAAAGTATGGTGTTGGAATGTATACTCTTTGCAGAGATATTACTTGTTTTGGTTTCCCAAATACCTTTCATTTATATGTGCATCTTTTATATCCACACCCACAATACATGCCACGTACACAATACATGCCACATACACAGACCCACACACACAGAATTAAAACTTGATAGAAGTTTATAACATCTGTCTCAGATGGAGCTATTTCTGCTTCTAATGTTTTGTCTTTCTTGTTCATGTAGAGCATTGTGTGAGCATTCCAAAGGACGCTGTGAGTCTGTTCTTGGGATTGTGGGCCTACAGTGGCCTGAAGACACAGACTGCAGTCAATTTCCAGAGGAAAATTCAGACAATCAAACCTGCCTGATGCCTGATGAATATGTGGAAGGTTAATATTAAAATTAATTACAGTGGGTATTTAACATGGATGAACATGTTACCTACCTTTTGAACTTCTTCTATTTATGGTTTCTTGTTTGTTTGTTTTCTGTTTAGTTGCCAGTCAGGCTGCTTAGGTGAGTGAATTTGTGAACTTAATTGCATTGAAGAATTTGGCACTCATCTGTTAGATATTGCATTCATTTTAAAAATAATGAAGTTATCTTCTATTTCTATTCTTTAATTTTTGTGGGTACATAGTAGGTATATATATGTATGGGGTGCCTGAGATATTTTGATACAGGCATACAATGCATAATAATCACATCAGGTAAATCACATCACCCCAAGCATTTATCCTTTCTTTGTGTTACAACCAATCCAGTTATACTCCTTTAGTTATTTTTAAATGTACAAAAAATTATTGCTGATTATAGTCACTCTGTTGTGCTATCAAATACTAGATCTTATTCATTGTATCTAACTATATTTCTGTACCAATTAACCATCCCTGGTTCTTCCCACTACTACTCTTCGAAGACACTGGCAACCATTGCTCTGCTTTCTAACTCCATGACTTCAATTGTTTTAATCTTCAGCTTCCACAAATAAGTGAGAACATAAGAAGTTTGCATTTCTGTGCCTGGCTTATTTCAGTTAACATAATGACCTCTTCTTTTATCCATGTTGTTGCAAATGACAGGATCTCATTCCTTTTTAAGGCTGAATAATACTCCATTGAATATATGTACCACATTTTCTTTATCCATTCATCTGTTGATGGACACTTAGGTTCCAAATCTTGGCTATTGTGAATAGTGTTGCCACAAACGTAGTGCAGATATATCTTCTATATACTAGTTTATTTTCTTCTAGGTATATACCTAGCAGTGGGATTGCTGGGTCATGTAGTAGGTCTATTTTTAGTTTCTTGAGAAGCCTCTAAATTGTTCTCCCTAGTGGTTGTACTAATTTGCATTCTCACCAATAGTGGGTGAGGATCCCGTTTTCTCCACATCCTTGCCAGCATTTGTTATTGTCTGTCTTTTGGATACAAGACATTTTAATTGGGGAGAGATGGTATCTCATTGTAGTTTTGATTTGTATTCATCTGATGGTCAGTGATGTTGAGCACCTTTTCATATGCCTGTCTGTCATTTGTATGTCTTCTTTTGAGAAATGTTTTTTTCAGATCTTTTGTCCATTTTTAAATCAGATTTTTTTCTTTTTTTTTTCCCCATTTATTTACTTTATTGCATTTTAGGTTTTGGGGTACATGTGAAGAACATGCAAAATTGTTGCATAGGTACACACGTGGCAGTGTGATTTGCTGCCTTCCTTCCCATCACCTACATCTGGCATTTCTCCCTTTGCTATCTCTCCCCAGCTCCCCACACCCCACCGTCCCTCCCGTATTTCCCCCCAACTGATCCCAGTGTGTAGTGCTCCCCTCCCTGTGTCCATGTGTTCTCATCATTCAACACCCGCCTATGAGTGAGAACATGCAGTGTTTGATCTTCTGCTCTTCTGTCAGTTTGCTGAGAATGATGGTTTCCAGGTTCATGCATGTCCCTACAAAGGACCCAAACTCATCGTTTTTGATGGCTGCATAATATTCCATGGTGTATATGTGCCACATTTTCCCTATCCAGTCTATCGTCGATGAGCATTTGGGTTGGTTCCAGGTTTTTGCTGTTGTAAATAGTGCTGCAATGAGCATTCGTGTGCACGTGTCCTTATAGTAGAACGATTTGTAATCCTTTGGATATATACCCAGTAATGGGATTGCTGGGTCAAATGGAATTTCTATTTCTAGGTCGTTGAGGAATCG